CTTTAGCAATGACCTTTTGAAGCTTACCCTCCTTGTGGAGGGTGTCAATGACTGTCTTCTGGACAACTGTCAGGTCAGCAGTCTTCCCCATGATTGTGTATCCTACTGAACATTGAGTGACCATTTGAAGGCTCAGGAAACCTTTGCGAGTGTTTTGAGTTCATTAGCTGAGTACAATATTGCATTTTTTCCATATTCTAATTTTCTGTGAGTTACTTAGCTTTTCATTAGCTGCAAGATTAAAACAAATAAACTCTTGAAATAATTGAGTTAGTGAAATTAATCTATATAATGAGTTTCACATTTTAAATAGAATTACTGAAATGAATAAACTTTTCCATAATATTCTAAATGTATTGAGATGAGTACCTGTATAAAGCATCAGGAATGACACTACAAAAAAAGCTGTAGTGACTATATTATCATACAAATATTGTAATTCTATTATAGTTACATTGTTAATAATTACTTTAAAATATGAACGTTTTAGGTTAAGTTGTATTTTAAAAGTAAGGTACAAATATAGAATATGAAATCGGTATTTTGAACTTTGTCTTTAGGGAAAACTTTAAGGAGAACAGTTTATTAGGAATAACATACTTTGGTTAAAAAAACAAGACAATGACACATGATTTTCTAGGAAATAGGATGTTTATAAAAAAAGATTTCCATGACACAGAGAAAGCTGATGAGGATTCCCTTAAATTACAATAATTAGAATATTTTTAAAATCTCAAGAAAAACAAACATTGATTGGTTAATTTGACGTTCAAAAAGGGAAACTTCTGTTGTATGTGTTACTGCACCGTTGTCGTCTGTGTGCTCCTGAAGGCATCATCTGATTGAATGGTTTGTGTCAGACCTTAATATTACAAAGTTTAGATTATAATAACTGACCAGCAATTCTGCATCTGTGTGTATAAGATCTGACTTTTTAAACTTATCATATAAATATGCTATGCAATCCAATATCCCATTTAATCAAAATTAAATATTGAAGCAAAGATAAACAAAACAACATTTGTATAGTTGCATGTTTTGTAAACTGACACTGAATTCTTCATTTAGAGTTTAAAGCATAAAATAAATATCGTATGGCTCAAACATCAATACATAACCTCCCATAGAGCAGCAGTAATACTGTACCTCATGGTACACGTTTAAAAAGCTTTCAGGAAAAACACAAAAAGGGAGGTCAGTCAAGGAGACAGCCATTATGACTTCCAGTTTCTATCTCTAAAACTATATAATAACATGTTGAATCTACAGAACGGTGGGTTTGTTAGTGAGGATGGAACATTTATTCTGTGTTTAATTTTTTCTCACTAAATATAGATCATATATGGTGAGTGATTTGTGGTCTTAACAGTTCCACAAAAGATGATGCTATGGTGTGAATGGCTGTTTTATCCTTAAAAATAAATATTGCTTCAGTTGTTGTAGTTGTACAATATGACGGACACTAATATCCCTGAACAGACCATAAACTGTTTTGGCCATAAGTATGTGGATATTAAAGCGGCTTTATTATGATCATGTTCAGGTTCATATCAGTATGTAGTGTCTACTGTGACGTGTCTCCATGCTTTAATGTTTACAAAGCTCTTTATTTTTCTCATACTGCCTGTGCTGCAGCACCTCTTTTCAACCTCTGTCTGAAACCAGAGCCCAGTCTGCTCCGATTGGTTTTTGTTGACCAACATGGCAAAATGGCTGGAGCCAGTGAGTTTGGGGAATTTGTCCAACAAAAAAAACATTAGCATTAACCAAAATAAGAACTGAAAAAAACATCATTGCAGGGCAATTGACTAACTGTGTCAGCTATTCATTTAAGTAACGCTTAACCCAGCTTGTACTACAATTTGTAGAAATATTTTTATTTTGCCTGAGAATAGCTGTCAAAGTTTTACAGATATTATATATATTCATCTGTAAATCAAACACAACAGTAATATTTTAGAGGGACAAATTGGAGCCAACAATGAAAAACTGCCCCAGACCTGAAGTGCATACAAGCATGTCCACATACTTTAGACCATGTAATGTAACTCACAGGTTAGTCATAAAAACCTAATATATAGTATATGACTTCATTTTTCAGTATTTTGTGTGATTAATATGGATAAGGTTACAGTAAAGAAGGCGAGGTGTGTGTGTGCATATATGATTCAGCTTAAAGTATTTTGAATGTCACTGTAATATATATATATATATATATATATATACATTCACTGCTAATAAGGGGCACAGATGGTTAACTATATGGACAAAATGTCGCCTGGATGAAGCCACAAACTCTGGTCTTTATGTCGCTTCACATATCCGAACCAGGCCTCATTGAGGATTTTCCGACTGCATGCCGAAGAGAAGTTTGCCCACCAAACGTCACTGTGTAGCCCTTCACCATTCTCAATGACCTGCCCATATTTGGTCTTCAGGTTTCTTCTCATGTATAAAAAATGAACGCACAAACAACAGAGTCCAGCAGGAAGTCAGTTTGATGTCGAAACTTCATTAAAATTCCAGTTTAGATCCATAACAAATTATTTTTGGTATGTAATGATAAAAGGAAAAGGAGGGAACAGAACAGTAGAGACTCAATAATGTTATTAATACAGCGGCTGTAACCTGATTGTGCTTTTCCCACCTCCTGAGGAAGCGTTGCGGGCAAAGACCATAAGTGATATAAATACTGTTGAATCTCTACAGTGGTGGCTCAATGACGTACACTGAGGAAAAGGACGAGGGGGGGAATCACAAGTTCAGAAGCCAAAATGGCTGATCAGAAGTCTGGGGAATAGAGAGAAGTGTGACTGGCTGAGTATTGCACATACTGTAAGTTCAAAAGTCTTTAACTCGTCCCTGCAGACGATGCTTCAGTTGATATTTCTAGACTTTAAGCAGCTGTCAGGGAGAGGTTGACAAGACCTAAAAAAAAGAAGCCTGCCCCCTTCTGTTGGGATCTACTGCATTTGTGAACTTTGAACGAACGGTTACTCAAATATTTACGGCAGAGGAGGTGTGGGTACCTGCCGCACAGCAGCCAAACTACCCAGACTCCGGGGTCCTGGAAAAGAGAAAGCAGTTCCCTCCCCTTGGGGTCAGTTTACCCCAGCACAAACACGCTGACACCTCAGTTTTATTTCAGAGCAGGTGTTGGTCCAGAGGAGGCGGAGCTAGCCCAGCTGTATCTGCCCCGAGTACATGGTGAGGAGGAGCATGATGGAGAAGCCCGTCAGCAGGCCGGCGTTCTGGATGGCAAAAATGACAAGGAAGCTGCTGCCGCCTGCATCCTCCTCCTCACGACTCACCTCGTTCATCTCTGGAAACTGAGAAGCAGAAAGAAACAGAGACATTTATATATTTTTTAAACCTCTCTAAACTTATTCTACTTTCTCCAATTCCAAATATGGGGGGAGTTCAAGTCCATCTTAAAAGGACACAGAACAAAAAACCATTGGTCAATATGATTGCTCTTATATCTCCTAATTGAAGTCGTTCTAAAATTGTGCCAGTTTTTTATGTTTTATAACAGTTTATTTTATTTTGACAGGTTAATATGGCATTTCATTTGTGTTTTACGACAGCTGTATTTGTCTGCTTGTATTGTTTTGTGTTCATTTGTTGTAACATTTGTCATGCTGCCCTCTTGGCTAGGTCAGTCTTGAAAAAGAGATTTTAATCTCAATGAGACTTTAACCTGGTTAAATAAAGGATCTAAAAATAGCCTCTTCCCAATGTGTTTGGAGAACTTCTTTTTTTCTTAAAGAAGTCTGTATGTCTAATGAGAACCCTCATAATGGCACATCCTCCCTTACAATACTTGTATCTATGTTTTCCCAAGTCACTGACCATATCTGCCAGAGCGATGTAGAGGAACATTCCCCCCGCCAGGGCAAAGATCCAGTTGGGGGAGAAGCTGTTGCCGGCAAGGATGCCAAAGCCCATGCCCAGGTAACAGCAACAGGCCGACATGAAGTTGAAGAACAGAGCCTGCTGTATGCTCATGCCAGCGTTCAGCAGGATCACAAAGTCTCCTGGAAGAGGACAGAAAGATTACATCATGAAGAGAAGAAATTACATTTATTGGATTTGTAGACGCTCAAGGCAACAATATGCCAAAAGGAAACATTGGCTGGCTTAAACAGAGTGCTGCAGGAATAAGTCCTACAACCTGGTAGTGAGTTAGCATTTTATTACATCTGGTTCCCTTGTCTCAAAGTCGATGATTTTTTAAAAACTTGATTTTGGTTTGATGCTTGAGATAAGGTGTGTGGTTAACACAAGCACAAGAGATGTTCATGTTTTGTTCTATGACATAAAATAAGACAGTAAATACCAGAGGTGGGGGCTCGAGTCGCATATTTTTGGACTTGAGACTTGCTTGACTAACATTGATAAAAGACTTGACTTGGACTTGGTATTCATGACTTGAGACTTGACTTGAGACAGATGACTCGAAAGGACTTCACTTTTTTTAATTAAATATTTGTTTTTGTATTGTGCGGAGTCCCTAAAGGGCAATGAAAAAACAAAAAGATACTGTATCTCGTTCGCACGAGAAAGTTACCGGAGCGCCAAGTAGGAAGTGGAGCACACAGGAGACAGCCGTTTCATTGCAGACTGTTATGTTTATGTTGGGAAATGGCAGTGCATACATTATTTTAGATATATTTCGAACTTGGACTCTCATTCACTTCATGAAATCGCTACAGCACCAGGAGGCAGCGGGACGTGTAACTCCGCCTCTGAGAAGTGCAGCACGAGCGCGCAAAGAGCTGTGCCTTTTACGCAACGCCTTCACTGTGTTTACTTTCATTAGAACAGCTAAAGAGCGACCACATGCTGCTATGTTTTAACCACACACACATCGAACTGCCCGATTAATCCCCCTATTACCGTAATTTTCGGACTATAAGCCGCGCCTTTTTTCCCATTTTTCGACCCTGCGGCTTATATAACGGTGCGGCTAATCTATGGATTTTTACAGCTAACGGCCACTAGGGGACCTCCTAAATCTATGGATTTTACAGGTTACAGTCCACCACCTTTAACTCTATGGGCTCTATGGCCGGTCCGCGCCCCCCACCTTTAAGCGGCGGG